GAATGAAAGGAAAGGGCAAAAGAGTCATTTGCAAGGAAAATTAATTAAAGAAAGGATAAGGATATATATGAGTACAAGTGGGTTGAAAAGGGAGAACATCAAAGGCTTCCAGAGTTCTTCTTCTTCTTCTTTCTTCCTTGTGCGTGTGAACCAAAGCCAAGGTAAGATTTCTGATTATTGAGTTTCTTGTTAAATTTAATATTGGGTTTTGATTATTAGATGATAACTAAGCTTAAGGAAAGCTTAAGTTATCTTAACATCAAATGATGATTGAGTTAGGAGAGATTTAAGATTTGAAGTTCTTAAATGAAATCTTGGAATAGAGTTCATAACTAGAATTTAAAGTTAAATTTGACTTGTCATCAATCTAGTTAAGATATACGAAGTGTTAGAAGTGGAATTCAAACATGTTGAAAAATTGATGTAATTATTGAATTACATATGAAGGATAGGATTTGGAGGTTTAAGATGAAATAAATAAGTATAGATTGGTATAAGTATGTGTACTAGAGTTAAGAATGAAAAAGGGGATTAAACATGAAGGATTTAATCCAAAATGAATGGATTTTCGGGTTCAAAAAGAGGATTCTGGGCAGAGTGCATCGATGCACATTCATAATGCATCGATGCATCAAGGTTAAAACCCAGAAATTATTTGAATGTGTATCGATGCATTAGTAATGCATCGATGCACTCTTTTAAAATAAAAACATCGAATGCAATTGGTGCATCGATGCATAAGGAGTGCATCGATGCATCCCAACAATAATACTACATCGAATACCTTTTATGCACCGATGCATCAGTAGTGCATCGATGCATACCTTCATTAAGAGATGAAATTGACTTTTCTCTTAGTCTAAAGAGTGAACCATTAGAATATATTAGTTATAATACTGATATAAATCCATGTGTGATTATGTAGATACTAAAAGTAATCTTATTCCGGAACGATCAAAGGATTAGAATCGAATCAAAGCAAAGCTAAGGTGAGTGCATACTATATGTATATTATAATGGAATAAGACTTGTGATAAGTCTAATCCCTATGTTGATTTTTATAATACAGTAGTTGTGAACATGCATACATGATAATTATTGTGATACATGCATAAGACATATATATGTTCATATGACATGATATGTGATATGATATGTGATATGACATGTGATATGAGAACATGATATGAAGTGATATGAGATACATGATCACAAGATAAATGATATGAGTACATGAACATATGGAATATAAGAATAATGCCCATATTATACGATATGAGAACTATAGGTGTAATTGGCATGCCAAGAGTCGAGGGTATAATAGTCCTTCGGGATGTAGTCCTTCAGGATGTAGTGGTCCTACGGGACATAGATAATAGTCCTACGGGACGAATACTGAACTAAGGTTTGGTACCCCATGAGGGAATTGATACGAGCTGTGGTGACAACATTAGTGCACAACCTCAATGTACTCACATACCTCTATTCTCAATAATATACTTGGGCAACAACAACAACAATTGAAATACCAATTTACAATGAAAGTGATACAAGAAGGTAAGTTTCGTATGTGCATTATATGATTATATATGTTATCGTGTGATAGATACATGCATATTGAAATGTCATGATCCAATGGTAAGTATGAACATTCATAAGTTTATTGTTGCGTATTCATTTATTGCCTCACTAAGTCTATGACTTAGCGTGTAAGTGATTTACACGTAGGTACCAAGAATCAGGAAAAGTGGAAATAGAAGTAGCACGGACAACAATACTACTAAGAGATCAGATCAGAAGTAATTGAAAAAGTATGTACTTGGTTATGTATAGAGTGTTGGCATGTAATAAGTGTTAATTACGAATACTCTTATCGATTTTGTATTTTATGGTCTTATGTAAATTAATGTATTCGTTTTAATGAAAGTTTTAAAAATTCCGGGATTTTCTATAAGAGTCAAAGTTTAAAAAGTCAATGTGACACCTCAGACTTGTATTCAGGTCGGATATGAGTTAAGGGTGTTACACGTAAGATGTCGGGAAAGCTAATGAAGGTGGCGGTGAGCAGCGACGAAAACTAGATTGACGACAATCAACGAGAATATTGACACGATTTAGGGGTTTTTCGTCGCACGAAAAATCTTCGATTTGTGACGGAAGAAGGCGTTTCATGGCGCGAGGATGCTCGGGCTTTGGTCGTCGGTTGATAGCGAGTCAATTGATGGTGTTAGAGCGATGAACGGTGGTCGAACGATGACGATTTGGAGAGGCCGGCGAGGGGTCGACGGGTGAAGTTAAGGATTTGAGGTTTTGGGATTTGGGGATTTTCTTGGGTGTTAACCCGACTTAAACTATAAAATATATATTTACCTAAAATATCACTAATAGTACCGTAGCCTAAACGACTAATGCATGAACGATCTTTTTGGGTGTCAGGGGTTCAAATCCCCGCAACACCAAATCCAAATTTATTTATTTATTTTTTTCTCTGTAGACAAAAAATAGGAAAATTCAGGTTTAAGTCCCTAACTTCCTGTAGCTTTCTAAAACGGGCTACAAGTTTTAAAAACTTATTATTTAACCCCTAAATTTAACTAAATTGATTTATAATTTTATTTTTATTTTTTTAAATTTTTATTTATTTATGTATCTTAAAATTAGGGTTGTGACAATTATCTAAAAGTTGTCTGAAATATTCTTCCCATAAATGTATGATTTGGTTATGTATAACTCTATCAACTACCTCAACTCCTATTTATTGTTAAAATTTGTGAAAATGAATGTCGGAGGAACTCATCAGCTTGAGGTGACGAGTTCCAAAGTTTTTAATCAAAATATTCAATTCAAATTAAAAATCTAAAATTAAATAGAACTCGTTTATTAAAAAATATTAAAATAATACACGATGAATTTAAAAATAATATCCCATAAAACTCGTCACTTCGAGATAACGAATTCCTCTTGCACTATAAAAATTGTCGTAGAATCCAAAATAACTTTCTGACACCCATAATTTCCTTTTTAACAAGACACAGTAATGAGCCAAAAAATCCATAAATTAAGATATAATGGGAGACTTAATGGGGAACAAGTGGGGTCGAGGCCCATTGAAGCTATGTCGTGGGAAACATTGGTGGAAAATTGAATAATAGCCCAGCTAATGAAGAAGAGGTGGTAAGAGTTGTTTCAACCTTTAGGTACAACGAATTGTCATCAAAGAGCAATAGACAAACCCCTACTGCAAAAACAGAAACGATATGGATCTTTGGGAAAAATCCAAAATAGATATTTGACGAGTTTGGAAAGAAAAAAGTGGTCTCATGCAAGTAGAAAGAAGAAGAAACAAGCGACTAAGGTGGAGCTTTCTGAACCGGATGGTAGGTCTATTTTGGACTTTGATATGCTAGCGAGAAGTTTGATCCTAATAAGGGAAATAAGAAAAACAATTGGAGATAAGCAAAGGGTTGGGGCTTTAATTTATTTTTTCTCGTGGGGCGAGATTTGGAAAACCACATCATTTTTTATTATTATTGTTATAGTTGATTTTTAATTAAAAACAATGTGATTTTAGAAAACCTCTCGTTTCGAAAATTTGGGAATTCATTCACAATGAAAACACAGGTTTTAAGAGTCGCCACCAATATTTGATTAGGGTGTAATTGGACACCAAAAAACATTTTGTCATTTTAAATAAAAATTAATTTTAATTAAAACAACAAATTTGCAGCCTATGTTACCAAAATCCGGATTCGGGAGCCGGTTACGCGTGGGGAAGGATTAGAACCCCCACAGCGCCCTAAATCGATATCTAGTCGATTAGTTAATGTCTTTGCAACAAATTTCACAAGTTCGAATTTTAATTTGATTTATGATCCCTTAAAACAACAAAACACAAATTTTATAACATTCAAAAGCAAGAAAATAGATTTAATTAAAAATTACCAAATCATTAGAAAGATAAAGAATATTCGATTATTTAAAAATATCGAGACCAGATATTTAGGTGAGTTCTAACGACCTTTTCTCAACAAATTTAAATAGCCAAACATTTCTTTTTCTTTCACTCCCAAAATTTAAAGTAATAGATCCAAATTTAATTAGGTGTTACTGATGGGATACACTTTTAATTTAAAATTGTTAAAACGACTCTCTAGTAAGTTAGGAGAAGCCATTCCGACAATTTTAAATTAAATATGTATTATCCTTAGTCCGATTATGTGATTAGATCGAGTTATGCAAATGAGAATAACATACAAAAACTAATTAGATAATGCCACACATTCGAATAAACATCTAAATCTAAAATAAAACATACACATGCACCTATGATTATACATTTTACAAGGGAACTAGTACATTTTAAATATCAACATGTGACATATTCTAAGTCAATTAATACCCAAAATAATATACATTATAAACTATATACATACAAAGATGCAACTTACAATCGGGACTTAAATACAAAAAAATGAAAACATAACAATCTTAAACTATAAATTTTCGAAAATAACCACACTTATTAAAAGGACGAAACACCGTTAAATAAAACTTTACCAACTTAAATACAAATAAAATAATAATTAGGGTAAAAACTAATATTATACTATAATAAACCATGAACCTAAAATAAAACAAATCAACATAATAAATGATTAATCATAGAAATAAACCCTAAACATTCGTAGGACTAAAACGAAACATGCAAACATCAGAGGTTAAATGTATAAAATAACAAAAACTAAATAACAAAATATTTGGTACTGAAATTAAATACGAGTAAAATATGGAGACAAAATTACAAGCATGCAAACATTGATTTATGGACCAAGTTAAAGTACGCATAAAATATGAAGATAAAATTAAAAGTGCAGGAAATATGAATAAAGAACTAGAGTGCATTAAAGCAAAAATAGGCGTGACTCCCTCAGCAATACTCCCACACAAACCGGCCACCCAAAGCGCTGCCGTTTTGGCCCGCATATATGTTTAATATCTAGGGTAAAAATTAAGCCCTAACCTCATTTGTAAACAACCCACTGCTGCGCCGTTCTTCACTCTCAGACCCCTCTTATCTTCTTCCTCGAACGGAGATGCTCTCCAAGCACAACCATAAACGGCTGGCTACCCCAACCATCCTAGAAACAACAGCCACATTCTCCTATTCTCTCAACCCCATCATCTCTCGGCCTCTCACCACCTAAACCAGAGCCTCCACGGCTGCCACTCACGACGCAGCTCACTCCTAGCCTCCCTCCTTTCCTCTGGCTCAACCGAGAACCACAAAGCTTCATCCCCGTCGCCTTTTCCCTCTTTAACGCTTGACCCCGGAGTCCAACGTTAGAGCACTCCACAGACGATGAGGCCATACACCTAAGGTAAAACGATCCTCTTCTTTCTCCCTATTGCTTTTAAACGCCTCCAAACCCACATGTATGCATACCAACAGTATGAAAAAGAAAGAAAAACGAGAATAAAAATGAATATACCCCTAATATCTGATTGCGCCTTTTTGAAACAGAAATGAAAGAAATATCTCTTGTATTGCTAGGAAAAGTTGGGGGAAAACCCCGATTACATCCCTTCGAATGGAAAAAAACCCTCTTTTACGCTGTATTTTCTTTGAATAAGGTAACAGCCTCCTGTTTACCCAGCTTTTTTTTCGATGAACCATGCTCTCTCTATTGCTCCTGTTTTTTTTTGTGTTTTTGTTCTTGTTGATGGTTCCTGATGGATCCCCCCTTTTTCTACTCTGGGTTTGTTGCTAATAACTGATAACTCCCCCTGTCTCGGTACTCTCTGGCTTGATTTCTGTGTGATTACTAGTGGAGTGCAGGGTATGGGCGATGAGCTGGGGAGTGGTGCTGCACATGGAGTGCTGGAAATGGTGATGCCTGGAAACCGAGTTGCATGGGTGTTGGTGATAGTCCCGATGGATTTCTTGTGAGCTGCTCGGGAGGCGTGGGTCTGTTGAAAGTATGGGCGCTCGTGGGTGTTGTCGGGCGTGCTGGAGCCGAGCTGCACGTGGGAACCGGGTTTTGGCTGCTGGTGGAGGCATGGACAGAAGCTTGGAAACGAGAGACAAAAACCTAATGGGTCGAGGGCTTCTTCAAACGGGCTGCAACACTGGGATGCCAAATCCCGGGCTTGTAGCTTTAGATTGAGCCAATTTGGTCCGTCTTGTTAGGGGTTTAACATTGATTCGAGCCTGTAACACCAAAAAAAATATTTAGTGCATGTTTTATGCCTTTAATTGTTTAATTATTTAATTACTTATCCGCATATATATATATATATATATATATATATATATATATAATAATTACATAATATCACACTTATAACAATATTATTAATAATAAACTCGAATCAATCTTTGAATAAGATCCCGGAAAAATCGAGTATCTACAGTTGTCCCTATTTGTTCATTGTCGTGTAACGAGAATAGAGAAAAGATCAATAGATAGTCAAATTTGTCCAATTATGAAAAATTCAAAAGATTAATCTGTTTTACTGTAATTTCAGGATAAGTGGGACTTGAAAAATTCTTCGAAATTGTGTATGTTCCCTATTCTCATTAGGGAGTTTAAGACTCGATCAATTTTCGATCAGCGGGTTTGCTCCCTATTTTTTAAGGGAGTATAGAACTCGATAAATCTTCTGAAAAATGGGTTCGCTTCCTATTCCTTTCGGGGAGTATAGAACTTGAGAAATCTTTTGAAAAATGGATTCGCTCCATCTTCTTTTCAGGGAGGCTTAAAATGGCCCGAATGACTTATCATCTTGGTGAAAAACGTACTACTCGAAGGTCTTATGGATGACCCAAAGGATTTAATAATCACGCTCGAAAGACTTACTGATGAATTTGCTTCACTTCTTCTGTGTAGGCTTACAAATTACCCGAATGATTTAATCATCATGCTCAAAAGACTTAATGATGGCCCGAAGGACTTATAAATTGTGAAATTTTGAAAATCGCATTCTTAGTTTTCAAAAATTTCATCTTTCTAAAACATCATTTTTTTCATTTTCAAATTCATTTGAAAACATTATACCCGAAGGTTTTATGGATAGCCTGAACGACTTATCATCTTGCTCAAAAGGCTTATAGATGACCCGAAGGATTTAAGCATCATGCTCGAAAGACTTACTGATGGTCTGAAGGACTTATAAATTGTGAAAATTTGAAAGTTGCATTCTTAGTTTTCAAAAATTTCATCTTCTTAAAACATCATTTTTCATTTTCAAATTCATGTGAAAACATCCTACCCGAAGGTCTTATGGATGGCCTGAAAGACTTATCATCTTGATCAAAAGGCTTATAGATGACCCGAAGGATTTAACCATCTTGCTCGAAAGACTTACAGATGGCCCGAAGGACTTATAAATTGTGAAATTTTGAAAATCGCATTCTTAGTTTTCAAAAATTTCATCTTCTTAAAACATCATTTTTTTCATTTTCAAATTCATTTGAAAACATCCTACCCGAAGGTTTTATAGATCGCCCGAAGGACTTATCATCTTACTCTAAAGGCTTACAGATGATCCGAAGGATTTAAGCATCATGCTCGAATGACTTACTGATGTCCCAAAGGACTTATAAAATGTGAAGTTTTGAATATCGCATTCTTAGTTTTCAAAAATTTCATCTTCTTAAAACATCATTTTTCATTTTCAAATTCACGTGAAAACATCCTACCCGAAGGTCTTATGGATGGCCCGAAGGACTTATCATCTTGCTCAAAAGGCTTATAGATGACCCAAAGGATTTAAGCATCATGCTCGAAAGGCTTACTGATGGCCCGAAGGACTTATAAATTGTGAAATTTTTAAAATCGCATTCTTAGTTTTCAAATATTTCATCTTCTTAAAACATCATTTTTTTCATTTTCAAATTCATTTGAAAACATCCTACCCGAAGGTTTTATGGATGGTCCGAATGACTTATCATCTTACTCTTAAGGCTTACAGATGACTCGAAGGATTTAGGCATCATGCTTGAAAGACTTACTGATGGCCCGAAGGACTTATAAATTGTGAAATTTTGAAAATCGCATTCTAAGTTTTCAAAAATTTCATATTCTCATCATTTTTTTCATTTTCAAATTCATGTGAAAACATCCTACCCGAAGGTCTTATGGATGACCCGAAGGACTTATCATCCTGCTCTAAAGGCTTAGAGATGGATTTACTTCACTACTCTTTGGTGAAGGCTTAAGATGGTGCTTCACTACTCTTCTGTGAAGGCTTAAGATGATTGCTTCACTACTCTTCTGTGAAGACTTAAGATTATTGCTTCACTACTCTCCGGTAAAGGCTTAAGATGGTTTGCTTCACTCCTCTTTGGTGAAGGCTTAAGATGATTGCTTCACTACTCTTCTGTGAAGGCTTAAGATGATTTCTTCACTACTCTTCTGTGAAGGCTTAAGATGATTGCTTCACTACTCTCCGGTGAAGGCTTAAGATGGTTTGCTTCACTCCTCTTTGGTTAAGGCTTAAGATTGACTTGCCCCAATCTCATGTGTGCAAGTCCTTCCAATCGATCGATTCACTTCTTCATACACAAAAATCTTTGTTTCTCTTCTATATCTGATGGTCATCACTTCAGGGTAATGCCTCTTCTGTGGATTAGACCTCTCAATTCTTCAGGGTATGCCTCTCTGAATGTGATTTCTTGCGTTTGAGGTTTGGAATCTTCCTTTCAATCATCAAGATTTTAACATCCTGCATTTTCTCCTTTTACCAGAAGATCTGTCAAAATCATGTGTTTATACATGAAACACTAATGCAATTAAATGTGTCAGTGTAATGTATTTTCTTTTATGCAAATGATGTTTTCATGAATGCATAAATGTTGAATCAATCTTCACTTGGCTCCAGAGTGGTGAGCTCGATCTTCTTCTACTTGATCATTATTTCAAGGATCTGTTTCATATACCCGTGTAGCAACTCATAGTTTCCAACTTGCATTTTTGAAGAGCCATTTGATCTTCTTCTATTTTCTTGTCATCTTTGTTTTCTGTCTTCATTTCAGAGAAAGTGTTTTCTCTCTCAACTTCTTGCTATGGTCAAAAGCATGATTGTGTTGCCCCATTTTTTGAGACTATGTATATGACTGCGCTAAACTCCACAAAGATCTATGGGATAACAATATCTATTCTGATTTAACTCTTGCAGCACATCACAAGGAGGATCTATCCTGATTTTTTTCATGTCACAACATCTCATCAAATATCAATCAAGGCTCATTTATACCATATCATGTCGAGAGGTTTACCAACAGCCCATCATTCAACCTTAGTTGGTTCCACGAGTTTCTTGCTGTTAAAATTTTATTGCCACTTCCGTGGAAAGTAATCTTCATTATTTCTCATTTTCAACCTTGGGATTATAGAAGACAATCTTCATCTTTGGTAATGGAAACAATCCGTAATCGCAACACTGATTCATCACCATATTCACTGGTTCGTAAAACATTTGACGATACATTCATCTCTTCTTGTGGCTTCTGGTCATATCTTTCAACCAGAGAAGCTCTTTGAATAGCATTCAGAGTTGTTTTATGGCATTACAAGTATACCAAAACTCAGTGGAAATCACAAGAATAATGCAACTGATGATGAGCAACATGATCATATGCAGTAAACTCCACTGTCATTGTTTCACCATTTTCAGCACTCGTACATTTCCATCTCATTGGAATTATTTGTTCAATTAAATGATCGTTCTACAGGTCTTCATAGGCTTCCAAAGATGCCCCAAACTAACACATCTAGCTGAAACATGCCTTCACTAGTGCCACAACATCATCTTATACTGGTACAAGCCTTCAAAATGCCCAAACACCTCAAATTGTAAGGCTCATTCTCAAGGCCTCCTTGGTCTGAATCTTGTCATCTCAATATGATATGAGTTCAGTCGTGCCCTAACATTATCTTAACTTGAATTTTCTCATTCTGATGTCACTACACAGTAGTGTTGTCAATTAGTTTAAGGGTGTTTCTTCACTTTGTCACGAACACTTAAGAAGTGATCAATTCCTCTAACAAAATGTCTTACAAGATGCAATATGTGCCCCTTCTGAATAATGGGGTCCTCTTCTTCTTGATGGGTTACCGATGACATCCCAAGAAAGTGTTCTTCATCCATTCTGATTTCTTAGATCATCTGCTTCAAGATTGTGGAATGCTTCATGTTTTGGTATTGCTTATTCTTCTTCTCCAATAGAGGCACAATGAGCCTTACCCGCTTCAAGGACCTTTCACATTTGAAACTGTCCTGTTTGAAAATATTTTTCTTTTTTCTCTTATTTTAGGGATTAAAGAATGAAAGAATTTTATAAAACATTGCCCCTTAATTCAGGCTCACAATCGAATCAAATCATAAACATGAGTTCACAAAATATCAAAAGAATAAATAGCTCTTTAATGTTTTCAGGGTTATAGCTCTTTGATAAGTGTCAAAATTAAGGGATTAGCTTCAGGTTGGCTTCTTATTTTCTAAGGTTTCGACCACCAAAATATCATTTCCTTCTCGGTCATCGTGAATATCGCAACATGCCCTTCTTTCTTGGCTTGATATTTTAATCGGATGCGGACAAAATGACGCAACTAGCATGATCCATTACTAGACTTTCTAGAATACTTCCATTTCAGTTCTGTGAAATCTTTCATTTGTTCAAACTTCATAAGATCCTCTAACAAAGGCAGTGAAAAAATATCGATCAAAAATGAAATTCCTGTGTGCTCGTGTGAAATCTACTATAACAGGTGTTCCTTAACTCCCTTAGTCCATTTTTTACCGAAACTCCTTATTTATAAAATTGATTTAATTTTTCATTTTCTGGCTAGCTGAAATCAGCTTTATTGTAATTTGCCTTTATCGGGCTAGCTGAAGGGTCCATCTCATCACAGAGTCTTTGACTTGACAATCACAGTGGAGCATACACTGAATTGCCAGGTACCCGATCAGGGTCATGGTTTGAATATAATATATTCATAAAGTCAGGGCTTTCGAGTTTCCTCTATAACCAATTGCCTTAGCGGAATAGCTCAGCTTTATTGTATACACATATATATATATATATATATATATATATATATATATATATATATATATATATATATTTTGTTAGGTATGCGGATTCAATTTCTTAAGCTTGTCAAGAAGAACCTGTCATAGTCAAGGTGTTGTCGAAAGTCAGAAAATCTCATCGTTAGAGTTCA